GAAGGTGGTTGTCTTTATTTGAAGGATTCTTCCATCTCAACAAATCATTGGTTGTTTTAAGAGAATGTCAATTCTGATTTATATACACATGGTGAGAAACCAAACTTCCGAGGCATATCTACCAAGAAAGCTAGAAGCATTTTTAGGAACAAAGTTGTACAAGAATTGAAGCCTAATGCAGATGAAGCTCGGAAGTTACTTTAATTGGAAAGATCAATTTAAGTTGCATGTTGAGAAACAGTAATTAAAGAGTCCCACACCGGGGAAGCTTGTCATGGCTTGCCACCCACCCTTAATATGCAACCCCCACCCTGCTTTGGGGCCCTTCCTTGACACCACAAATGGAATGTCATAAAGCTGCACACAATATTTCAAGTAAATCTTAAATCCGACATGACTCATTTACATGGCTATTTAGGTTTTCAGTGCTTGTTAATATAGTGGCCAGTTGTTGTCTGTGCCTACATTTGAAACTGTCTGTTGAGCTAGTCTTTTTCCAATTGATTTTATTCATCAGTTCTTCATTTCTCTTAAACAAGGTCTTGTTATGAACAAAATTGGTGTTGGTTATGAATTATTGTGGTGTTAGTTTTTGGTTATGGGCCACTGTGGCGGTGGAGCTTTCAAATTATCAAATCAAAGTTAGTTAGAACTTGTAGTGTTTGGTTATATCTTAAAGTGGTATTACTTATTGCTCATTTGTGGGAGAGCTTTAGATATGACTAAATGGTTCTTGGATAAATCCAAAGTAATACTGGTTATGACCCAATATGATTATAATCAATAAGTTATGTTAATTTTTTTTTTTAAACCAAATCGTTGAACGTAGATGTATATATGGTATGCATTTATTTTATTTTATTTTTTGTTAAAATGTGTATACGTTATTGTATTAGACATAATTGCAAATAAATAAATAAATAAATAAAATACATATTTGATTTAAAAGTAAAAATCTATTGATGAATACATTGCAAAAATAAATACATATTTTTTGATGAAAAAACTTAAAAGTAAAAATCTTATTTGATTTTGCTAAAAATATTTCTCATAAAAATCAATTTATTTTTAGGAATATCAACAAAATTACTAAAAGACAATTAATTTCTATACTTTGAAAAATTCTACCACGTTCCATTTAGTTATGCTAATATAGATATGTTAATAGGGTTTCATAACATTATTAAGGTTATATATTTAACTCTTCACAAAAGAGTAAAAGCTTCAAAACATTCATAAAACTCTTTCTAAATAAAAAATAATTAAAAAAGAAAGAAATCACTAGACGTATCAAAATTTTTAATTATTAAACAATAATCACTATTACCAAAACCGCTATAATTGAAATAAGAGTTTTTTTTAAGGTCCCTGGTATTAAGATTTTTTAGCATAAATGACGCTCAGTATTTTTATAATGTCTAAAGTTCCTCAATATCAATCCAGAGAAACTCTCTCCATAAAATTTTTTAGAATTTCTCTGGACTTCCTAAAGAATTTCTTTATGTTTTGATCAATTTTCTCTACCTTGCTTATAATTTTCTCTTTGATCAAACCAAAGAAAATTGAACAACCACCATTTTCATTTTGACCAATTTTCTCTGAACTATAAGACATTTAGACAACAACATTTTCATTTCGATCAATTTTCTCTAGACTGTAAGATATTTAGACAATAATAAACCAGAGAAAATTGAACAATCACCATTTTAACAAATCAGAGAAAATTGAACAATCACCATTTTCTCTGAACTATAAGACATATATCCCATAAGACTGCAAAACAAAACAAATAACCAAAATTTTAGTACAGAGAATTATACATGTTATCCAATCAGCATTCTTTAATATATATATATATATATATATTGATAAATAATCAGCATTTTTAAAAATTGTTATGGGTATATCAAAAGTTTTTGATAACAATGAGATGTTTAAGCCATGGTAAAAATGTTTTTGCCTTAGAGAAGTTTAAAATTACATAGGCATACAATGTAACTAGAAGTTATATGTGAAAACCTCAAATCTAAGTCCACTGTTAACTTCTTGGTTGACCATTTATATGCATGTGAGTTTCATGTAATCCCAAACAAAAATGAGGTCATATAACAAAAACCTAATCATTTAAACCAATTATGTTTGTTGAGTTTCCTATTTTGTATTGAAATGAAAATAATAACTTGCTCAACCTAAACTCTCCAAATTAAATGCCGAAAAATAATTCCAAGCAGAATCCAATCTTTCATGCAAAGATGAGCAATGGATTCTTCCACCATTAATAAATAGAACACTAGAGGAAGAGAGAATACCTCATTTGATACGTCAAAAACTCCATCCTGAATCTTCTTATAGATTGTTGCGGCTATGTTTATAAATATCTGTACAAAAACTTCATTATCAAAAAGATAAAAAGAAATTTGTCTGGAAACCAAGTATCATTTTAATATTGAATAAATTCCTGCTCATGCTAGGAAACTTTCTTAAACATCAGTCCGCCAATCAGTATGAAGATTTATTGAGACAACAACAAACCAGAGAAAATTGAACAACCACAATTTTCATTTTGACCAATTTTCTCTGGATTGTAAGACATTCAGACAACAACAAACCAGAGAGAATTAAAAAACCACAATTGTTAAAGAATTAGCATGGAAGAATCGAGCAATTAGAAGAAAAAGCAAGCAATCGAAGATGGTAAAGACAGAATCAACACTATACCAGTAAATCATAGCACTTCACAACTAAAACCAAGATCTAAATATAGAATGTAAAACCTAACAATTTCTTCCCCATTATCCTCAAAACTAATTAGTAGCCAAGCAATAGCCCAATTCAGACTACTTAAATTATCAAATTTTCCTTTTTTTCTAAAATTCCTCAACAATTAAGCAAAACCCACAACTGCAAAAGCAAAACCCATAGCTGAAAAAGAATAAGAAAGCATGCTAAAGCCCTACCTTCTCATTAATCATGAGTATCATCGACATGACATGCTCAAAAGTCGCCTTCTCCCCATCGAAATTGGGCCACAAGTAATTCTCCAAGCGCTAACTCACCTCTAGAATCATCACCCTCTGTAGCGGCATGGGTTTCCGACCATTCTTGACTAGCAACTCCATGTCGTAAATCTACTTTACCAAATCTAGACTGAAAGGCTTCTTCGGCCTCTCTCCGCCTCCAGCCTTGGACCAATTCTCCTACGCAATCTTTGCCAAACGATCCCTTGTTATTGAGTTTAGCAAATTCGAACCGGTCTGCGACCTCGGAGGTGTCGCGGCATTTTTTTATCCCAATGGCTATGAATTTCCTCTTTGTATGATTAACTTCGAATCTCTAAAATCTCTAACACTAGAACCATAGAAAACAAAAATTCATCAATGGCGGTGACGATTGCAGTAGAGATAAAGATGAAGATAAAGATAAAGATGAAGATTAGGGTGAAGAGTTGCAGAGGGAAAGCCATGATTTTTGTTTCACTTGTAGAAAGAGAGAGTGAGAGTGAGTGAGAGAGAGAGAATGAGGGAGAGAGAGGAGAGATGATATACTGAGGGACCTTACACTACAAAAAGAAATATTGTCGATCTTTTTTATTAATAAAAGTTGGAGAGAGATATTAGACTAAATTTCCCTTGAAATAACACCACTTAAGATATAAGATGAAAAGATAACTACTAATTAATGGCATTTAAATTACTCAGCGAATTAAAAAATCAAAATGAGCAGATTTTTTTGGATTTGGTTAGTTTGGTTTTTGAGTACATTGACTTAGTTTCAGGTCTTCTAATCATCAAGCTCATTGGATTTGATTGATTCTTGATTTAGAATTTGCCTAAATCAAAACAACTTAAGATCTAAACCAATTTATATATGTTAAGATTGTTTTTATATTTACTTATCTTCACCGAATAGACTTGATTACACCTAATAATTTTTATTATACAAGAATTATTAGGTGAGAGAAGTACTACAAGTTTAAATTAGATTTCATAGATGATTCAATTTGTATCGGCTTATGTTAAATAATATTTTACTCATTTTTTGTACTATTATATTTAAATACTAAAAATCTGCTCATTTTAATTATTTGTTATTGGTTTTAATGCATGATAGTTTAATATTAATTTTAAATCCAAAGTTGTTTTATGGTTACTCAACAGTCTGTACTGCTACTGCTACTATTACTATTTTCTCTCTCTCTCTCTCTCTCTCTCTCTCTCCCCTCACACACTGAGCTTGATGAAGATTTCAAGAAGAAGGGTTTCTGTTTCTTTCATTATTGGACGAAGAATAATTGCTGATCACAATAGTCAAAAAGGTGCAATATTTCCCTCTCTATTTAATCATCCCTCTTTGTTATTTGTTCTGTTTCATTCTCTCTCTAATCCCCTAGACCCTAGTTCTTCTCCTCATGCTACTGCTGTATTAACGAATCAACCTAAGACTTTACCCACACGCCGATGCAATTCACGGCACAATGATCTCCAAAACGTTGTGGAGTTTTTCAATCACATGATCCAAATGCGACCCCCCCCTTCTCAATTCAATAAAGCGTTACGCTTTATTTTGAAAATGGGTCATTACGGCTTTGCTCTTTCTCTTATTGGGAAATTACATTTTCTAGGCATTCGGGTCGATCTCTATACCTTCAACATTGCTATTAACTGTCATTGCCGCCTAAATCAAGTCTATTTTGTCTTCTCTCTTTTTGGTTGCCTCCTCAAACGCGATTTTACTCCTACTATAACTACCTTCACAACCCTGATTAATGGACTTATTTTGCATGATAAAACTCCTCTAGCTGTGGAGCTTTTTAAGAAATTCATTAGAATGAGAGAAATTCAACTCGATGTGGTTATGTATGGGTCCATTATAAATGGGCTCTGCAGAACCGAGAACATTATCAGGGCGGTCAGTTTGCTTAGGATAATAAAAGAGGGAAGTTGTAAACCTGACAGCGTATAGTGTATACCACGATCATTGACAGTCTTTGCAAGGATAGAATGGTGGACGATGTTGTGAAACTCTTTACAGAAATAGATGAAAAGGGTATTTTCCTAGATGTTGTCACTTACAATTCTTTGATTCATAGCCTATGTAATTTTGGCCGGTGGGAGGAGGCTACAGAAATGTTAAAAGAAATGATGGATAGTGGTATTGCTCCGAATGTTCGTACATTTGACGTGTTAGTGGATGCATGTGCCAAGGAAGGGATGATGAACGAAGCAGAGGGGGTACTTGAAGTCATGATACAAAGAGGTGTGGATCCTGATGTAGTCACATACAATACTCTAATGGATGGATATTGTTTACAAGGCCAAATAGATGAAACAATGAGAGTGTTCAACAACATGGTGGACATGGGCCTTCTCCCTAATGATTTTAGCTATACCATTCTAATCAACGGATATTGCAAAAAGATGAAAATAGCCAAGGCCATGCATATCTTTCGAGAAATGCCTCGACGGGGGTTGAAACCCAACAACGGAACTTTCAACACTATGTTACAAGGTTTGTTTCAATCGAGTAGATGTGGAGCTCCTCAGGAACTTTTTAATGTGATGCAAATTGTAGGCATAATTCCAAATTCTCAAACTCATGGTATCTTATTAGATAGGTTGTGCAAAAATGGGCATATTTCTGAAGCATTGTCATTATTCCACATGATGGAAAGCAACGGTTTACATCTTGATGTTGTTATGTACAGTGTTCTCATTGATGCTTTCTACACAGAAAAAAAGCTTGATACTGTAAGGGCCCTTTTAGTAAGCTTGCTTCTAAGGGATTACAACCTAATGTTAAGACATATACTATGATGATACAAGGTCTTTGTAAAGAAGGCCTACTGCATGAAGCTAAAGAGTTGTTTGTTAAAATGGAACATAATGGTTGTTTTCTAGATGGTGTCACTTACAACACTATTATCCGAGGATTTATTGGACAACGTAAGTGCTATGAGGCATTAACACTCATTGCAGAAATGGTTCAAAGGGGCTTTTCAACAGAAGTATCCGCTTTTCCCTTGATCATAGATATACTCTCAACTAATGGACAAGATCCTACTTTCCAAGAAGTAATGAAGAAGTTCATCCCCAAAAACAAGCATGGAATGCAAGAGATTGAGTAATTTTCTTAAGTGGTGAAGGTAAAGCAACATTATACTAAACCGTGTAGCCTTTTATGCTCATAAAATGTATATTATTTGGTGAAACTCTTTTAAATATATGTATGGATGTCGCACTTGCCTGTACCGATATGTACTGCACTAATAACAAATGCAATACATTGACTGGTATGATATTAATGACATTGGTTATGTTTTATTATACCACTTCTCTTACACTAGGATGAAATTATTGGTATAAATTAAATGGGTTGAGACTGATCTCTATTAGCAAGAAGATTAATGATGGAATTGTTCCTTGTGTAATTTCTACATTGCTACATTAGTTGCTCTTTGCCTGAAATAGAAGACATAGTCGTTGCCTTGTTTCTGTAAATGACTCAAAGATTCATAAAGCCTGGCTTCAACTAGCTTTTGAATTCTTTTTGCAATTTGCAAATCTGACAACCCAACTTGAGAAGCATTTAACATAAATTACTTTATTCCTATAACATGGATACAGTTTTGCTATTCACCATTTTCAAACTTACATCTTTCATTCTTTTCATACATCACTCTTTTTTATTGGAATGCAGATTAAGATGGATTAAGATAACTTAGTGAACCCTTTTTTCTAGTGTATTTTTAAAATGATTAACTGGGTTTGTAGTTTGCTTGGTTTATTAGCCCATATTTTATGTCACCAATCAAGGATTCTTTGGAAGGAAAGATTGGTTTGCAACTAACGGGTTCTAGTATTGCTATATGTGTAGACACCCCATTTTTGACCGCCCTTAAGACTTAGGCACCACTGATTGCGCACTCAATGATGAATTTGTATATGCTGGTCAAAATGCTCGAATTCCTCAGCAGAAAGCCTCACATTTGAGCCACAAAATGCTATGAACCTTGTGCCTTGTTTTTGGACCAAAACATCAGCTTTTTAAGCCTGATCATTTAGTGGTCTGCCGCCCACTATTAGTGGTCTGCCGGCCACTTGTGCAAAATTTCAGATCTTTTTGCCAGTTGTGCCAGTTGTCTTCACAGATGCATGCACTGCCTTAGCTGTATCTATATGGATATTTCTGATATGGACTTACATATTTCTATATATAGATGGCCCTCTCTCATTGTTTAAGGGTTAGAAAATTTTGGGAGCAAAAAATATTTCTCTCTCTACAATTCTCTCTCTCTCTCTCTCTCTCTCTCTCTCTCTCTCTCTCTTGCAACTTCTCTACCTTTTGTCTAGACACTTTAAACCAAACCTTGAGGGTTCTTTGCTAAGGTGTTTTTGAGCTTGCATTTAGTTCCTGAGGGTGTGGAATTGTTGGTTTGCAACTCAAAAAGGGTACCTTTCTTCAAGAGGTATAATTCTTAGCTTGTTCCTCTTATTTAATTGACATCTTTTCTTACTATTTTTGGACTATTTTTACACTGTATTTTTTGGCTGAAACTTGTGGTTTAAGGCCATTAAGGGTAGAGGGGTGGATCACCCTTCTTTGTACCTTGCTTCTTAGGCCTTTACCCTTGTGTTTCCCACCTTTCCATTATCTTTTTTTGAGCTTTCAAACACTGGACTTTAGAGTCTTTTAGAGGCTAAAAATCATGTTTTGAAGTCCCAAATATGGAGGGGTTAGCCTCCCCTCCTTGTGCTTGTGTGTTAGTTTTCTTTCTCTACTATTTTAGCTTATTGTTTTAGCTATTTTTATCTAAATTCCAGCACTATTGTAGTGTAATTTAGGACTGTTTTAGGCTTGTTGTGTCATTTATGCTTTGTTTTGCATGCTTATAGTGTAATAGTCCTCATAGGTTTTGTGTTTTAAGCATTAGACACCAACCTATTTGAGGTAATTGCATTTACTAAGTGTTTTTCATACTTGTGTTCACCTCTAAGCACCTCTGCAACCTCCCTTATTTCTTGGCTCTTTGTTACTTTGAGAGTCGTTTCAAACCGATTGTTCGTTTAAGCATGAGATAGAGATGATTGTGCTTAATGGTTTAATCCCTTTTGGGGGTTAATTATCAACGGCCTGACATTTCTCTCATGCCTTAAGCCAACACTTGGTTTGACACCTCCCTCCTTTAATGGACTTAACGCTCATCATTGGACTTAATCAATTAATGAATGGAAAGGTAATGTAATGAAAATGAGTAATAAAATTGGGAATAAAATAGAGCAAGATAATAAAATGGTTTGGGTTCAATCGAACGTTAATTAAACCCATCGAGTCTTGAGTCGTTTCATACTTATTAGTGATGAAAACGGTTCAAGAGTCGATGCCAACTGCTTTCCTTGATTAATATCATGATAGGGAGGAGTTTCTTGAGTCTTTAATTATGGATTTATTGAAATTGTCTCCTTTGGTTCATAAGTCATCATGCAATGCATTTGCGCCAATTGATGGCTTGCGAACCGAGCTCACCCATCCTTTGATTTGTTTGATGATAAGGAGAGGCAGGGTGAACAGACATTCCCTGAGAATGCTTTGTTTGTCCTCTGTTTGTTGTCTATTACAGCAGGAGAAACCCAACATTAGTGGGCGACCGGCCACCATTTCTGTACGGCAGGCCACCTTTAGTGGGTGGCCGGCCACCATTTCTGGCCTACCAGCCACTTTTGTTAACCAGGCAATACCTTTTTCTTCATAGAACAGAGTAGAGATTGAGGTGAAAAATAGTGCAATTTTCTGACTGTGTAACAGAAGCATTCTGGCAGCAGAACTGTCATGACCCAAACCCGCCCCTATAGGCTTAGCACCGTAACCAGCCAGTAATCCGTGGATTACAAAAGGCCTCTGAACAGATTATCAAGTAATAAAGGGCTGCAAAAATAATAATACAAAATAGACAAGGTCCAATGAGCTGTGACGATGTACATGGGACAGAACATTTTAAAACTTATTTATATATACATAAACATGCCAGTCAAGGACACCAATATTTACAAAATAATTACAGAAGTGAACTTCTCAAGATCTGACTATACAGTGCAAACACTAAGACTAGCATAAAATAACAGCCATGGCATTAAACTTCGATCGGAACCTCCCCAGGAGGCACAAAGGTTGGCTGACAAAACAGTACAGAAAGCCGTCAACTCTGGCTCTGGTCATGTGCCAGCTCACCTACATACATAATATAAACTGTGAGCGAAAGCCCAGTAAATAATAGCATAGTAAAGGGGTTATATGAATGATGTCTAGCACAAGTTAGAACCCAGTAGTTAAAATAGAGCATAATCAGACTTCAAACAGAAACAGATTTATATATATTTTCATATTCAGATTTTGCATAAGATCATACATGGTACACCCATTAGCTATCAGATCAAATTGGTCTAGAGACCCACATACATAGTTGGTACCAACGACCACAAAGGTCTATATCTTACGCGCAAGTAGCCATGGTATTGTTACCCCCAGGCAAGGGCCACGTGCAGATTAGCTGCGGAATGGTTACCCCCGGGTGAGGACCACATGCATATTGGCCACGGTATTGTTACCCCCGGGCGAGGGACACGTGAACTAAGGGTGCCACAATTACTTTCAGAAAATTGGACATTCATTCATAATTAGTAAGAAAGCATTTCAGAAAACAGATCATACAATACTAGTCAGAAAATACTTAAGTTGAACATAACTTTACAGAGTTATTACTCACAGTGGGCTTGGAGACAGACAGACAGAGCAGATCGATCAGACATGATGTGGCATGTGACCTATACGACACATAACAGATACACACTTAAAACACACGTTCTACTTGTACAAAACTTATTTCATTGGCTCTTAGTGTGTTTCTAATCTCTTATCCTCATTATGGGGTCTCCAACATGGCCTAGGAATGCCTAAGATGGAATGAGGATGCAAAAATGCATTGGAAAACATTTCTCAAAATTTGCAGAAAATAAGGTCCATGCTCGAGCATGGATTTCCTCGCTCGAGCGGACATGCAGATAAGAAAGCTCCACTCGAGCGTGGACTTCCTCGCTCAAGCAGACTGTAAACCATGACAAAAATGCTGGATGTGTGATTTTCACGCTCGACGGACGCTCGACCTCCACTTGAGCGTGAGACTCAAACCCTCGCTCGAGCGTAGATTTCCTCGCTCGAGCGGACTACAATACACAGACAGACAGACGGAGTAAACTTGGTCAAACGGTACGTGGCACGTGACCTACATAACACATAACAGATGCACACTTGAAACACACGATCTAATTGCACAAAACTTATTTTATTGGCTCTTAGTGTGTTTCTAATTCTTTATCCTCATTATGGGGTCTAAAACATGGCCTAGGAATGCCTAGGATGGAATAAGGATGCAAAGATGTCTTGAAAAATATTTTTCAAAACTTGCTGAAAACAGGGGTCTCGCTCGAGCGTAGTTTTCTTCGCTCGAGCGAGCTTGTCAAAACAGAGGGGTCGCTCGAGTGTAGACTCCTTCGCTCGAGCGGTCTGTAAAAATGCAAAAGTACTGTTTGTTAAAATTTTACACTCGATGCCCACTCGATGCTCGCTCGAGCGTGAGACACAGCTCTTTGCTCAAGCGTAAGTCTCGTCACTCAAGCGTGCGTCTGCGTGCACCAAAAACCTGAGAGCTTGCAATTTACGCTCGAGCCACCATTCCTTCGCTCGAACATAGCTCTGAACAAACGATGGTCGCTCGAGCGTAGAATCTTTCGCTCGAGCGAGGAAGTCAAATTCTGAAATT